GATGGGATCCAAGAATGGCTAGATAAGAAGGAGAGTCTGCTCAATTCTGGAAGGCAGACTGGTTCAGAAAAGAGGCCAATTCCAGGAAAATTGTTCAGTGCTAGTTGCAAGCCAATCCAATGTGGGCCCAAGAGAGTTTGCTCATTACAAGTAAATACTGGCAATCACATTTGCTTTGTACCTTGCTGATGTTGGAGGGAAATATATTTATATACCCTTGCTGTTGCTCACTCACAACATCTAGTCAAGAGAATACAGGCAGTCCTCAGGCTATGATGGCAATTGGGACCAGTATTTCCATTGCTAAGCGATGCAGTCGTAAAGCACAATATCATATGACCACACTGCTTCGCGACAGCAATCTCAGCAGTCCCGGTTGTAATCCCAGGACCAAGTAGGTCGTTAAGTGTGAAGAGGTAGGAGTCCCAGGCAAGTATACTTAAGGAAAATGAATATTTGGCAGAAAAACTGAAATGATGGAATTAAGGTTTAGCATGTTCTTTTTATTATCAGAGGAAGTTTCTAATATTTAAATTATTCTAACAATATGCCTCTGAATATAAAATGAACTTGTAGCCAACAGTCTTAACTTGCTGTGTGGGAGGCTGAGCACCACTTGCTGTGTTACATATGTGAAAGATTTTCAGATCAATAGCAGGACAGGTAATTGTTTCTTATTAGGTATTTTGCTTCACCTATTGGAGTCCAAAAGGATTGACTGGACTCCTTGCATTGGCTGGGACGAGCCAAATGGGAATTCAGCTGAAATCACATCCCAACCTTTATTAAACTTTGAAATCATCTCCAGAAGAGAAAAATTTGCAACATTATTTTTCTTACAACCAGCGAAGCTGCTAAGTTTATCTTTGTCACACTGTGTGTGTGTGTGTGTACATCTTCAAGTCAGTGTTGACTCCTGGCGACTGCCTGGACAAGTCCCTGCAGTTTTCTTGGCAAGGCTTTTTGGAACTGGTTTGCCCTTGCCTCCTTCCCAGAGGTGAGAGAGAGTGACTGGCCCAAGGTCATCCAGGTGGCTTCATGCCTCAGGCGGGATTAGAACTCATGGTCTCTGGATTTCTAGCCTGGTGCCTTATCTACTACACCAGGCTACAGGCTTTCTTGTCACACTTAGTTTCCTTTATATCCCACTTCCTTCTCCAACCAAACCAACAGATGTTAATTTATTCACCTGCAGCATCTGTTCTTACTAAACAAAACTGGAACATATCTTTCCACATCTCTTTGATAGTTATGGGGACAATCTGGGCTATCTTGAAACCCAATCAATCTGGGCCTCTTGAAGGAAGTGCTGCTTAAAACAGGTATGCTTATGTCCTCCAGATGTGTTGGGCTACAAATCCAATCAGTCCTATTCAGCATTTTGTAGCCCAAAGTATCAAGAGGGCACCAGGGTGAAAAATGGCAGTCTACATAATGAATCATTAACTTGAAGTTGCACAAATTCAACTTAAAGTTAAATGTTCCAAAACTTGTTCCTGTAAAATCATAGGATGCTAACTCAGAATAAGTGGTTCAAGAAAGTATGTGTGGAATAACAGATAGATATAGATAGATAGATAGATAGATAGATAGATAGATAGATAGATAGATAGATAGATAGATATAGAATAACCAGGCTGGCAAGGTTCCTGGATAAGGGCAGAGACTGATCCTGCTTGATCATCTGGAGGTTGAGTCGTGGCAGCTGGACTTCTTTTCTTTTGGTTTGATGTTTCGCTGCTTGGATAAGCAGCGAAATGTATCAAATCAAAAGAAAAGAAGTCCAGTTGCCATAACTCAACCTCCAGATAATTCCACCTGGATGACTGAGAATCTTCATCAACATCCTGCTTGATCTTTCAATCCTACACTTCTATCTACTTCTGGATACTGTACACTGAAACACATACACATGAGTGTACAAATAGTGCTATTGGATCCTTTGATAGCAGTAGTAATTATATTTATCATGTACTTCTAACTAAATGCCATACGTACATAGGATAGACAATAATACTATAAAATACTACAATCAGTTATAACGCTAGAATATAAACGAAGGACACTGTAAACCAGGCCTGCGCAACATGTGGCCTGCCGGGAAGCCCTGTGTGACCCGCCAGAGTTTTTTGAAAACTCAGTAAATCCACTGCTCCCCAACACTGCCACCACTAGGAAGGAGCCACCACTGCCCCAAAGACACACTGCTGAGTGCCTCCAATACCTCCAGGCCTCACCAACACCGCCAGCTCCATCACTGTCACCATGCTGCTAGCTACTGAACAGCTGATCAGAGGACCAGCTATTCCTTTGTGGCCTACAATTATTTTTAATTTATCAATGTGCCCCTTTCCCTCTATAAGTTGTGCAGGTCTGCTCTAAACTAAAAGGCCCATGACATTTAACATCAGCACTGATATATTTATGTCATTGGATAAGACCTAAGAAGTATTCTAGTCCTTTTTAACTGACCCCAAGCATAGCTCTAGTGGGATTTGAGCTTTATTTATTATACTCTTGCGAAAAACATTGACCCCCCTCTGTTACAGCCTAATCGTAATGGCTTAAAGCTGTCCTTCAGAAGTCAAGTAGTGTCACACTATGTTAGGGATAGGAATTTAGGAATCTTGCTTGATATGCCTGATATTTCATAAAGTACGCCATCTCTTCCTGCAATAAGGAACAGCAGAAATCAATGCTTGGATTTCTGATGGACAGTCAAAGGCAATACTAGACTACCTGTTCAAGAGCCACGACAATAAAAAGCATAGGACACTTTCACCTGGCAGTATTCAGCACTATAGTATTTCCTGTATTATTGTTATAAAGCTTCCTGAGAGAGGAGGTTTGACCCACAGGCAACAAAAATAGGTCAGCAGGAATTCGGAGCAGATATTACTACTACTACTACTACTATTATTATTATTTCAATTTATAGGGTTGCTCATTTAATCTAAGTGACTCTGGGCAGCTCACAACAGGTAAAAAACAATCCAATAAAAACAAGTTAAAAAACCAATATATAAACATATAGCAACCACCCATAATCAATTTAAAACAAAAAATCATGATCAGCGGCAGAATCCATCCTTACATCAGCTCAACATAGCCATTGTAAAAGCTCCTCACCATTACCAGACCCCCAGGACGGTCACAGAACCATGTCTTCAGGGCCTTCCTAAAGACTCTACACGTCAAAGGATAGAAGAAATGTATAATGAATGACTCACTTGTCTGGCTGCAGCAGTCCCCTTGCTGCCTCGTGAAGGTGGTGGCGGAGGCTTCTTGTTCTTCTTCATTTTCCTTTACTATGCCTTCAGTAAGTGCACGATAGCATTAGACAGATGGATCTAAGGATATTTTGAAAGCCATCCATGAGCTCTTGTCTATTTCTCACATTCCCATCATCCATCCCATCTCCCTTTTCTGTTGCCAAACCCTCACTTCCTTCTCCACATAGGCTTCATATAGCAGGAGACAGTTAAATTAATACCTTGTAAAATGAGGTATAAAGACTGCTTTGAGTTGAGCCTAACTCACAATTAGTAAATGGACACATCCATGCGGTTTTCTTGGCAACAACATGGAAATGTTTTCCATTCCCTTCTTCCAGGATTTCTTTTTACTTCAGTCTAGACCACAGCTATAGAGGTTCCTGGCACCCTCCCACCCAAGTACTAACCAGGTACAACTATCTTAGCCCTTTCAGGATCAAGCAAAGATGCCTACGTTCTGCCATTTGTAATGACTGTAAAACGAAACCATGTTTTAAATAAAGAAGCACCTGCTTCCTTGCCACCACACCCAAATATCTTCCACATTCTTCTGTCGCCAAGCTGTTGAAATCCATGTGTGTTTTTTTATAAGATATCTGAGTTGTGTAGGGTGTCAATTTTAAAAACACTTATGACATATACATACAGCGCCCATATGTCCTTTATTATAAAGGACAGTCCTTTATTTCAGAAAGCTCTCCTTTAGATTTAATTTATTTATTTTCTTGGTTTTACTCTTGAATTTTCCTTTGTAAAGCAAAGTTATAAACAATTTTTATCCTTATGAACCTCTTTCAGATTTGCCTATTTGTTGGTCCTTTATTTTTTCCAAGAAAATATGGTCACCATACACACACATCACCAGACTCAATGCACCTGCCATCCTTACAAATAAATTCCAGAAAGACTTTCCAGAAAGATACGAGACCCCCTTTCCAACATCTTATTCCCCTCAACAGCCTACGCTAAAACTACCACATTAGTTCTATGACTAACCTTAAAAGTAACAGGTAGCATATAGCATTTCAACACACTTCGTTTACTTATGCCTTTATTGTGGTACTTTTTATTTGTGGTTGCAATGCCCTGTAAGATAAGCCAGCCCATATTGTGCCCCTACTGAGGCTCACCAGCTGAAATGTTAATCAGAGAATCAGAGCCGAATTGCGGTTTCTGATTCTCCAGTCAGGGCCTACAATTTGGCCTCTGTACCACGGATCAGGACAACTACCACCCCTAGTTCAGACCTCTCCAATACCGATCTGGCTTACAGGACACTTGTATAAACAACAAGGAAATGCATATCCAGGTTTAACAGAATTGGCCTCAGCTGCGGGTTCCCTGCCCTTTTCCCCCTAAGCTTTCATGCAGCGACCTCTCCGCCCCACCGTTCGCTCGCGCGCGCAACAACTAATGCAAGAGGGGGGAACGTCACCCCTGCCCCCTTTGTACTGAAAGACACTCACTTCCTGCTTCCCCTCCTACAGCCGCCCTCGACGCCGCGCTTGGCTTTACGGCTCCCTCGCCTTAACGCTCGCGGCAATTGCTTTACGATACCTGCTCCCTTTTGCCTACTCGGAGTCGCCCGCGATTGTCGGTCCTTTTCCTCGCTAATTCCGCTTGCTGATTGCTGAGCAGGTTTCCCGTTAAAAGGGCAAAAAAAGAAGAGCCGTGGGCTGCATCACTGCAGTTATTCGGCAGCAAGAAGTTGCTCAACCCCTAAAAATGGCACAGTAAATTAAGGACCAAGCGCCCGACATTCTCAGAGTCCCAAATTCAAGCCAGGACTTTTCTGGAAATTGAAATACTGCCTTCCAACTGCTTCCTCTGCTGCAGGAGAGGGGAAATGATTGGATGTAACTGTCCTTATTAAAGGAGGTTGGTGTTGAATGTTATACCGATTGGGCACAGGCCGGATGCATCATCCCCCGTATTCATTTCGTTTCTGCATAACGCTGAGATAGAGAAGCCGGTAAGAGATGCGCAACGATGCAACGAACTTACAATTTAGTCCACGCTGCTCGCTTCCATCTTCCAAATGAACTGGTGAAGCTGAGTGGGAGAATACTGAGCGAAAACTTTCGAATATAATGTATTTGTGCCGCTGAGGAAGGCAGAGCAATTTGTAACAACTAGCGCTGAGCATCCGCAGGCATGTAGACGCGTTGCTACCCCGTATTAAGGAGGAACCTTAAATAGCACCGCAAGCAAGACGGTGTACTGCTCTGCATTTTCTACGTTTACCTTCCTGCCAACTAAGAGGAGTGGGCGGGATTTGTAAACAAGGGGTGTGGCGTTGGAATGGGAGGAGCCACGGCTAGAACGATGAGTGAAGGGCGGAGCGCCTGTGCGAGTGCAGTCGACGCTGCTGAGAAAAGGGCGGGCTTTGATTTGGCGGGAAAAGTCTCTGTCGTTTTAAGTGGCCAGCGGGCTTTTAGGCTCCTCGACCCATGCGGGATCAGTTTCGCGCGTTAGGGGCATAATAATAAATTGTAAATGGTCCTCCGCAAATCACTGCATGGAAAAGCACTGTAATTTCTGGATGTTTCCTTGGGCTTCAAGAAGCAAAATCCGTCTCCGCCTAATACCCCAAGCACTTAACAGGCCAATACAACCGTTTTCAAATATACTGGTTCTGAAGACAAAATCCTACTTTAATAATAATTAGTGAGATGAATGTTGATGAACTTAAAAAGATGTTTCCTTAAGTAGGCTGCAGACATAGATATTTTTGAATACAAAACTTTAAAAAATTTACATGGGACTTGACTTGAAAATGCTTCTTATAGAATGTCTGGGAAGACATTTATGTGAATATTTTAAAAGCAAAGAATATCAGCAAGTTTTCTCGAATAGGATAAGATGCCTTTCTCCAGTAAGGAGAAAAAGGATTTTCTTGTGGAGAAAAAGAGCAGAATAAGAAAAATTCTCCAGCCTTTCAGTCCAGATCTAATTACCTCATCTGCATCCCTAGGCCTGTAGGCACTGCATCGTTATGCCATCAGTTGTATTGTATCTGATGGCCTCCTTTACATAATCTCTCTAATGAGCCAATTACCCTACAAGCAATGGAAGTTTTAAAAAATGAAGTAGGAGAATTTATTTGAAGGAAACATGCGTAAGTTTCAGATGTTTCCCATTCTTTCCAGAAAGTAGGTCCCATTAAGCTGGTAAACAATTTGGACTAGCAGAAAGTCTTATTTTCATTTATGGGGGAGGAGGGATAGCTATTCCTCTTTAGCCTCTTCCTCACTCCCTCAGGAAAAAAAAGTAAGCTGGGGAGATTAATTTCAGTTTTAAATAGAAAACTGAGATACCAGATTTTTTCCCTCAAACTTTAATATTGAAGCATGAAAAATATAAACAGAAATGTTTATGTTAAAAAAAATGTCTCAGCTTCAGTTTTCATATAATGTGAGGTGTTTTTTTTAAACAGAAATTTGTCATCAAGGCTGAAACCTCCTTTTCATTTCAATTTACCAAGCCTCTTTAAAATGAGTAAAAGAAGGAAGACTCAAATTTCAGGTAATAGAAATAGATCTTTAATACCTGACTGGATGTCCCAATATAGCTTCCTTTTCAGTTTAACAGCCACGAAAAACAGGCTATAAAAAGATCAGATTAAATATTAAGGCACTCAGTACTAGGTTAAAATCCTTTAGCATCAAAGCATTCTGAGTTCCAAAGAGAATGGTGGGAGCACATATAAGACAGAGGTTGTCCACTTCTACACTAAGTCATAAGTTATGGTTTGATAAACCACAATGGCTGGTTCACCCAACATACTAAGCCAAATATATGGAATTCCAGAAAATAAGTTCTGATCTATGATAAGGCAGTCAAGTATCTTTCTGCTAAGAATAATTTTTTCACTACAAGTCTGTTTTGTTTAAAGATGTAATAATTGTTTGTTCTTTCTGCTTTTATGTTCCCGTAATGTCTATATATTTAACATTCCAGAAAATTAGAGTAGAAAAATCATATCATGTTTATGAACTGTTAATGTGTCCAAACCAGACATTTTGCATTTTAATTTCATATTTGTTCACTTCCCATTTTTGTTTTCTGTTCTACAGCTAGAAGCGCTTTATAAAAATCTTGTTTAAATAGTAAAACTAATCGTGTAATATAGTATTTTCACAATTTTATCTGTCCAGCTATCCACAGCTGAATAAACTAGGGAAAATATATGAAAAAAGTAGAGGAAACTTGTGATTTAACTTCAGATAAGAGAAATGAGAGAAGCGATTAAACAGGATGCCTATGGTGAATGAATGCAGTGATGTAAATTCAATCCAATCCTTTTTTTAAAAAATTCAGTGTTACTGTAGTTGTTGAGGGGTCGCATGATAAAAAAAAAGCACAGCTAAAATGTTAAACAGTGGGTATCAGTTAGGGTATGCAATACAAATTGTATTGCCTCACCTAATCTTATACCTGGTACAGATATTCACTCTTATATCCCACAACCTAAAATGTGTTAATTTTCACTGTATCCTAACCTGTATATGTACTGTATATATGGCCATAGTCAGAAATATTAGTTTCTCCAATCAAGGAAATCCATGCATTCTAAAACAGATTATTTTCAGTGAAACATTTGTTCTACAATAAATTATTCTGCAATCTGATGCACCATTACTTGCAAGTAAACCCACTTTGAAATACAGTGGAATTATTTTCACGAAAACATGCATAGCACTGGATTGTCAAAGTCCTTTTAAATTCAATTTCTATAGGGAAAAAGTAGTATATTGCTGCTCAGTCCATAGATAGAAATGTATTCACTCAGACACATACAGTACTTCCTTTACCTCTCTCATGCATGTGTATGTAATAATCCAAGAATAGTTATGCTGGATCAGGCCAAGGCCTTTCTTAGTCCAGTATTTTGTTCTCACAGCGGCCAACTAGATGTCCATAGGATACTCACAAACTTGCTCCCCTGTAACTGGTATTTGCAAGCAATAGGCAGTGTGTACTATGTGAAAATGAGCTTTCTTTAGTCTTTTCTAGATCTCCTTCCAATCAGTTTCATTGGGTGAACCATAATCCTGCTGACCCACTTTGTCCATGCCAGCACAGGTTTATAAATCTCAAATCATGCCCCATTCAATTGCCTTTTTCCTAATCTAAAGAGTCCCAAATATTCCAGCCTTTTCTCACAGCAAAGGTTATTGTGCCCCCCATAACCATTTGGCTTGCCCTCTTCTGTACTTTTTTCAGCTTTATTATATCCTTATACCCTTTCTCAAATATGGCAACTAGGACCAAACACAATAGTACAAATGCAGATATATTATAAATTAGTAACGGGGCATTACTACAAAGGCATTTTTATTTTCAGTTCTTTCCCTGTTAGGATCTGTTCAAGGATGCAGTGAGAATACTATGCAATGTCTGTCAGATTTAGAAGTAAAGTTGATAGTTTATGCTTCAATAAACTGAGCATAGGTCATTTAAGTCTTATATTAATAGGAACTGTATTGTTGTTCAGTCGTTAAGTCGTGTCCGACTCTTCGTAACCCCATGAACCATATTGCGCCACGCCTTCCTGTCCTTCACTGCCTCCCTGAGTTCTCAGGGTGCTCAGAGTGCTCAGTTTCATGCTCACTGCTTCAGTGATGCTATCTAACCTCTCATCCTCTGC